ACTTAAATCCTTTCAGCAGAACGTTTCCAACAGTAATACGCTGGGCGAATTCACCGGAGTATCGCCATGCCTCGTTGCTGCAGAGGAGAGATGAAATGTGGCAGTAGTGTCAGGAAGAATTCTCTGCTACAAACAGATGTCTGATACTTCACATCTGGATAAATCCTGACCGTGCCCACGGGTCCTTGAGGCCTCTGGCTGCCAGCCTCTTCTGTGTGAACTCCAGCGGCGTTCCCTCCACCTTCCACTGCCTCCAGTCGGGCATAGACAGCTTGCCGTGGCCGTGATCACCCCCCATACTGAACAAAGCAGAACAGATTTATTCTTCAACCTTCTTTTTATCTATTAACCAAATTTAACTTTTTATAATGTCTGCTTTTGAACTGAGTCACATTTGAACTTATTCATTTCAAAAGAATCTATAACTTTACTATTATGGAGACTTTTTTTTTAAATTAAAGCAAAAACATTTCCCCCAGCACGCAATTAAAAAAAATTTAAAAAGGAACTTTTCTGTGTTTGAACTACAATAATAAACTTTAAAAGAAGTGTATGCTGCCTCAGATTTGAAATGATACGGCGCAAAAATATTTGGTTTTATTCAAAAGTGCTATACAAATCTCCAATCACCATTATTATTTTTTATTTTTTTTAAGAGAAGCGCCTCTTTTTCTAAATAGAATTTCAGTTTAGCAAAAGACGCCACTCACTCCTGGATTGTAAATATATATTTACCACACAAAGGCAGTCCGTCAGAAAAAACTGACAATAAAAACTTTAAAATCTCAGCTAAAAAAAAATCAGAATTAAAAACGTTCACAAATGGTCACAGGTAAAAATACAAATAAAACTGAGTCTGCAGTTAAAGGAGAGTGCAGAAATAACGCTGGTGTACACAAGAGACGTGTCTGATGGAACAACAAAGAATAAAAGTATAAAAAATAAACAAATCTTCAGCTGGGTAATAAAATGCAGCGCGGTCAAAGATGCCATCTGAACTTTGGAGCAAACAACTAAAATGAGATGGCTGTAAAAGATACCCACTGAGTTATAGGTCAAACAAAATTAAATGACTGTGAGGAGGAAACGAGCACATTTCCAGTCCTTCATTAGGATGGATATCGGAAGTGTCATTTAAAATTCTTCATAAAATTTACCCTGCTAAACATTATATGATAACATTTAAAAGAGACATAAATATTGATTGCAGTTTTTGTGCTGACCTTCCAGAAACTGTGACATCTTTTTTGGCACTGCCCTTTCACACGCAGGCTTTGGAAGGAGTTTAGCCGGTTTATTAATAACCATATTTTAAGGATTTTTTCCTTACATTGGGAAAATGTTTTGTTTTTCTAGATTCCCCAGAAAGGATGCTAAATGTTTTTTTAATAATAAACTTGCTAATTCTTTAGGCCCAGTTTTTCATTCATAAATGTAAATTTACTAACAAAACGCCACGCTTTCTTCATTTCATTAAGGATGTGGAATTATATGTAAAGTTAATAACAGACTCTACCAACAAAAAGGCCCTTAGGACAATTTCTATCTGTAAATCTTTGCAAATATTTGTTTAAAAATCACATCCCTGGTTGTTTGTTCATGTAAGAGTTGTGTTCGTCTCCAAACAAAAGAGAAAGTGTCTCCTCACTCTGCAAAGCTGACCTGATGCTTCTTAAGTAAATTAAAACATCATTTTTGATGACAATGGGTTTTTTTTCCTTGTGAAATCCATGTTTTAAATAATTCAAGCTGTCAGAAAAGACCAAAGAAATATTTATCTTTAATTTCACATTTTCTTCTATCTTGATCTAATAGAAACTAATAATTGTACCAGATTTAGTTTATGTTTCATTTTGAACGGGTTAATAAAATCGGGGGTTTTCCACCGCGGTGGTGTTTTCACTATTTTCTTGTTATTTCTACAGAAGCAAAACAACTTAAAGAACATCAGTTCAACAACTCAACATCTAGGCTTGATTACTGCAATTCGCTCCTGTTTGGTACCAGTCAGACCTCCATTGCACGACTACAACTGGTCCAGAATGCAGCAGCACGATTTTTAACCAGTACAGGCAAAAGAGAGCACATTACACCAGTTTTGGCCTCACTGCACTGGTTACCGGTTCACTTTCGAATCCAGTTCAAAATGCTCATGTATGTCTACAAATCACTGAACAGTGCCGCCCCCCCATCTCTCTGATCTGCTACAACCGTATGTCCCACCACGTTCCCTGAGGTCAGTGGACCAGTTGCTCCTCACAGTT